TGGGAAAATGGGACCATGGGGGGCATCTCCTCGTCTGGTACTGGGGCAAGCCTCGGGAAGTAGGCATACACCCACAACTATAGAATATAAAAGGGTAACAATGAGTATGCTTATCAGATAAAGCAGAATGTAGATAAAGCAGAAATCAGAGAATGATGTGTAGTGTGTGCAGTGTACAGCCAGTGTAAAGTAGATTGCGTGTGTGCAGTGTGTGTGGTGTACAGATAATGTAGAGCAGAACTGTAAAGATAGAAAAGGAAAATGTCCCTCCCAGGCTCGCCAGTAGCCTCCAATCAAATCGCCTCTCAGACGAGAGGTCGAGCTCATATATCTGTATAGTGTGGCAAGGCCGGCTCTACTCCAGTCATAAAAATGAAACCGAGGGAGGGTCATCAGAGCACTCAGCAAATGCAGGCCTACAGTGTTCCACCTGTTTGAAAATAAGGTGGTACCGAAGATGAACATCAAGAAGCCCCTGGCGTAATGCTTGATCTCCTCTATCGTCTCAGGCTCGGTCCCTTTGAATCGCTCAGCAAACCAGGTATATTTGATCATGCTCGTTCGGTATATAGGTGGATGTGCCCCCAACAACTCGAACCAAGCTGTCTTCCACTTCTCTATATCTGTATCAATAAGGATCAGATCACCCCTACGTCTAAGCCGATGATCATAGCAAAGTCGTAGAGAGTCAAAAGAGAGAGAGAAATCTAGAGAGAGAGAGAGTTGTAGAGAGAGAGGATTTTTTGAGAGAGAGGCTCCAAAAATTTGCTAACCTTGCAATATGAGAGATATGGCCTCTATATATAGAAAAAAGAGAGCCTTGGTCGAAAATATCAATTCAAAAATATCAGGAGTAGTGTGGAATAGCTAGAGGGGAAATATCTGCAAACTATCTGATTTTTGGACACCAATGGCCGTCAGCCACCTTAAGTGGCTGACAAGCACAACTAGTGGCTGACAGCAAAAATCTGCTCTCCAGGTCCAACTTCAAATGGGCATATTTCCTTCGTCTAGACTCCTTTGCAGGTCATTCCTCTACCTAAATTGAAGCCCCGGAAGTCTTCTTTCCAATGGTGGAAGCCTCACATCAAAATTCCAAGTGTACAAAAATATATTTCTCTTTTAGTGAAGATTGTTCAGTTTCGATCCTAACCGGATTGATGCCCAACTTCAACCAACCATATCTCCCTCATCCGGACTTGGCTTAGGAGATTCTTGAGTGAAAAATGAAGCCCCAGAAGTCCAATTTTCAAAAGTGGTGGCCTCATAGCTGAAATCTAAGTATACAAAAGGATAGGCCTGATTTAGCGAGGGTTGCTCGACTCTCTCTTTTAACAGTTCACGCCCAACTTCTTCCCCAACTTGGTTTCTTCCCTCTCCTCCAATTTTCTTCAACTCCAAACCTCTAAATAAGGTGTTTTGGAAGATTTTTTTCAAAGAGTTCACATCTCCTTCATTTATTCTACTTTGTCTTTGCTCAAATTATCGAAAAGCACAACATTTAACGAAATGCGAGCCTCGGAACATCGTAAAAAAAATTTCACAAATTTTTTTGAAAGAGAGGGTTTTAAGGTCTAAAATCATTTTGGTCAAAATAGTTTTGGCCCAAAAATGGGTGTGAGGTTTGGGATTTGACGCTCTCCTTGCCGAAAAAATTTAACCTTTACACAAGATAGCCTGCACCATCAAGTAAGCAATCAGTGGCACCCAAGTCTAAAGGGCAGTAAAAAATGGGGTGTCTACACTACCATAAACTGGATGACCTCCTCAATAGATTGGCCATCTGCAGATCGCATGGACTCTGGCGGAGCCATCGAGATGATCAGTTTGAGCAGGCCCATAATCTGGAGCACGAAGCACTCGCCCAAGAACCAGGTCTGGTAGATTGGGCCCTCGAGTAAAATGCAGTAGTGGAAGGTGGCCCAAGCTTCGGCAAATTGGTCTCGAATTCCCACTGGCATTGTGGCTCATGGCTTCCACATGATCTACAAATAGAAATTGTACAGATTATTAGTTGTTATCAGTTGTTAAATGTGAATTGGAACAATTTCAAACCAAAAATGACTATATTTCGGGTTACCTCATGGGCCGTTACTATGTCAAAGTACTTGTAGAAAAACATAAAGGGCTCACGGGTCCTACGGTGGAGCCTGTCGTCATATCTCTGCGAAAAAGGGACTACCAATGGAAGCTTCTCTATAGGCTTCGGGGTGAGAATCGAATATTATGCATACACCTA